TGAAGATGTATATGAGGAAAAAAAATATTTGCGTGTCTGTGTGCGTGTTATTAATATTATATATTTTGGTGTTCGTGCACCCTACGCCTCCTAATAGTTTCACGTTAGCAAAAAAGTATCTACAAAATAAAATTTAATAAAAAAGCAGGTCACCTTTAACCTACGGTGGCAAGTGACCTCCGTCACCGGAAGTTATTAGCGGTCAGCAGTCCGTAATTGCACTTTGCGCTCAGAGCTGGTTCGATATATTTATTTCCCCCCTGCTCATTCAGTTTGTTCCATCTGCAATTCACCGATGGCACTGGCAAAAAAAAAAAAAAAAAAAGACCACTTTATGCTGTCAGAATTTAGGTGTGCGATGTGAATCCAATGGAGACACTGATGGTACAAAAGGCTCATTTAACAACCTTTTTACCTCCTTTTCTAAGATTTTTTAAAAATCTACAAAATATTACACAAAATAACCCTCTAAAATTAGACGTAAAATGTGCTTGAAAAAAAAAAAATCTAAAATCAACCAGACGCCAAAGCGATCATGCATGGACCAACAACATAATAGACCAACAGTACAGTGAAACTTCCTCACACACTCACCCTTCACTCCAAAAAAAGCCGTGATCAATAATTTAGGATGCAGTGCCAACAAAAGTCTGCTTGAATAAAACAAATGGATTAGACGCGTGGGGGGTGAGGGCCGGGGTGTTGCTAAATGGACAGAACCACTACAAAGCCGGGATCATAATGTTGATTAGTCATGCCTGTCCTACTTCACATGATTGATTAATTATTCCTAGGCTACAGATGTCAGTATAATCTAGATTAGGTTAGATACTATCAGAATGCCCGAAAGACACGTTACACAAAGACTACACAAAAACACAACAGCAGCAGCGGTAGTAGTTAAATAAATACACATGTTTAATCTGACTCTAGCAGAGTGCTTTTTCCAAGCCGAGATGATCTCACTAAGTCTGGTGGTGAGAGGCAGTGTAGCGTGAATCTTTTTTTTTTTTTTTTAAGTTAAAGCACCCATTCAGGAGAGTCTTTTTTGGGGTGAAGTCTTCAGTGTGGGCTAGATAGCATGTCTTGTTTTTCTGATGTTTTTTTGTTGCTCTACCACATAATAAAGACGAAAACATGTTGACTATGTTGACACAAAACCTAAAATTGATCAGAAAAGATATTCTTTGGTCACAAAAAAAAAAAAGGCAAAAGTAAAACCAACAAACCCAACAACGTCAGAACAAAGAAACAAATGAATATGTAACATCACGAGGGAGGGAAACTGAAAATAATTTCAAATCTTTCAGGACTCGAATGGGAAGACTGTGGTAGCTTTGAGGTGCACGCTGGGATTGCATGTGGCAAATGCATAGGATAATTTGTGTAGCAAGGGAGTGTGTTACACATTCTTTGACTGTTTCGCTTCCTCTTCGTCATCGTCGTCGTCATGGTCCTCCTGGTGTTCTTCATAGTAGTGGTGAAATAACTGGTGCAGATGCTGCTGGAGTTCGTGTGGTTTGGAAGCTTTTGTGGGACCATCTGTTTGTTCAAGAAGGACCTGTTTGCCCTGCCCACCTCCCTGCACCACTGTCCGTCTGAGCGTCTGACCTTTACGCATGTGGGCCCTGTACACGGAAAAGACCCAAAAGAGGGAAGAACAGTTAAATCTTCCGAAAAAAAAAAAGATTGCATCACCCAAGAAATTGTGGGAGAATGCTGCCATCAAGAAAGGAAACAAGTGAGAACCGGAAGCCAGGTTACTGCATCACAGCACAGCATACTGTAGCAAGCCTTCTACAACATGCAAAGATAGTGTATGGATGACATGAAAGCACTCTGACTGGCCACTAAGTAAGTGCGACGCTAATGTCCGTGAGGGCCCCTATCCTGCATCGATCAGGTGTCTTGGAGGGAGGGAAACTTCTAAAACCTGGAGGATGGGGGCCCTCCAGGACGCCTGCTCTAGCCCATGTTTAATATGTTCAAATGGTTTGTGTAGTATTAAAGGGGCTGTATTGAGGCGTCAATCTCACCTCAAGGCATGCTGTCTGGCCTGGAGGATGGGGGCCCTCCAGGACGCCTGCTCTAGTCCATGTTTAATATGTTCAAATGGTTTGTGTGGCATTAAAGGGGCTGTATTGAGGCGTCAAACAAGCACACTCTGTATGGATGTGGTGACATGCTGAAACACACTCTAAATTGCCCCTAGGTGTGAGTGTGAGCGCAGATGGTTGTTCCCCTCCGTGTGCCCTGCGATTGGCTGGTAACCAGTTTAGGGTGTCCCCTGCCTACTGCCCGAAGACAGCTGGGATAGGCTGCGGCACGCCACGCGACCCTTGTGAGGATAAAGCGGATTAGAAAATGGATGGAGTGTGGAAAGGGTTACAAAACCATTCCTAAAACCATTTGATTGTGATTGATGGAACCATGAATTCGGCTCTTGACCAGAAAATCCTCAGGGTACATGTTCACGTCACTTTGTGACCTCAAGCTGAAGTACACTTGCAGCAGGACAGCGATCTGAAACACACCAGTCAGTCGACTTCGGAATGACTTGGAAAAAAACCCCAAAACAAAACAAAATGAAGGTTCTGGAGTGGCCCCGTCGAAGTCTGGACTTAATTAAAGACTGTAATTCTATGGCATTACCTTAAAAAGGCCATGCTCGAAAATCCTCCAGTGTTGCTAAATGAAAGCAATTCTGCAATGAATAATGAGCCAAAAAATCTCCAGAGAGATGTGAAAGATCGATCGAAAATGCTTCATTTTAGTTGTTGCTGCTGAGGGTGGTCCAACCAGCTATTAGGTTAAAGTGGCAGGTATCTTGAAATGACAATTTTTGTCCTAAATAAATACATTTGTTATTTAAAAAACATTGCTTACTTGGGTTATCTTTGTCTGACATGTCACGCTTAAGTTGCTGGAGAATAAAACAGCTTCTTATACCCCTCTTCAGATCAAGACAGAATTGTTAGTAATGAAGCCACAACACAACACTCACTACAAACTATACCAAGCAAGTCTGAAAAGGAGAATACGCGAATAAAACCAAACACATGCACTCCAGCTCCCACACACCTCCTGACCACAGTTCCGTCATCTTTGACAGTCTCACTTTCAACCACATAGGGGAGCTCTTCTCTGGTTAAACCACCAATATAACCGAGCGCCTGGTGGCATTGAAGGGAGCAACAAATCAGTGACGGTAATGCAACTGAATTCAATTGATAATTTGTTCAATGGCAGGTTGTTGAAAAGAAATGTGACACGAGTGTGTGTGTGTGTGTGTGTGTGGGTGTGTGTGTGTGTGTGTGTGTGGGTGTGTGTGTGTGTGTGTGTGTGGGTGTGTGTGTGTGTGTGTGTGTGGGTGTGTGTGTGTGTGTGTGTGTGTGTGTGGACAAACCTGGTTGAAGTCCTCTTGGGCTGAGGGGAGGTCAGAAGCCAAAGACAAGTCCCCTTTGTGTGTCACTGTTCTTTTACCCTCTACCACAGTGGTTCTTTCTGCCAAACTGACTTTACGCACCTCGGCAGTTGCTTGTGATGCTGAGAAACCCTCACTTTCAGCAAATGTAACCTAGGCAACAAAACATGACAACATCAAACACCCGTCTCACAAAAATGAGGTTGTGTGATGTAGTTTCAGATAAAAAGGCAATTGAATGACTCTAATGATATTGTTCTATTATTGTTCATAGAGTTTGGCCTACATTACCGATTTGAACTTCACCGACTAATTTAGGGCCATGTCGCACAGCCCTAACAGAGTGCACACACATACCTCTGTATGGTCTCCCTCGCTCTTTAGAACAGTGCGCTTCACCACTTTCGAGTAACCATCTCCCTCGGCAACACTTATGGATCTCTGAGGGGATCCCTCTATCGAGACCTCCTCCCGCTCCACACCATCCGAGGAAACACACTTGCGAATAATCTTTCGAGTAACCTGAGAACGGTCAAAAATTCACCTTGCAGTCAGAGGGCAATATTGGCAAGTAGCAGTGACAATTTTATGGATCAATGCTCAATGATTCAAACTAAATTCCCCCTCAGTTCACATGCACAAAACATAAGGAAAGTCTTGAAATGTCATCTGCAACTTGATATCTGTGAAAAGGGCATTAAAACAACACTTGCGGCAGCCTAAGGTTTTTACGCTGCAATCTATGTCATTTTCGATTTGCCAAGTCTTTACAGATAATCCTCCTGTACCTTTCTGACAACAATGTGCCCATTTTCATCTTTGTACTTTTCTTCTGTCGTAGTCTGCATAGGAACGTCGGGCATTTCGTCAGCCTGTAAAAGTAAAAAAAAAAAGATTTCCAGAATGAAACTTTGATATGAGCATTGTCAAATTTAAAGGCACGTCAAAGACAGGAAACAAACATTCAAGTTGCATTCTCAAGGGAAAAATATGTGTGCAAATGAAGAAATATGTACTGATAAACTCAATCTCACACTTTATAACCCATATTTTATCCACCTTGATTAGTCTAAAATTGTTAGACTGACAATTTTAAGTTGACACAGAAAATCTAGTGTGGTTAAAATCACACCCTCCATGCTCCATCCATCCACCGTCAATCATGTTGGGGTGGATACCTGAATGACAACTCTCCTTCGCACAATTCTGGTACTCAAAAATTCATCATCAGAACTTTCAGACATTGAGCCAATCTCTGCGCTGATCTCCTGACCAAGTAGAACAAAATCCATTACGATTAAATCAAAGAACACATCCAAAGGAAAGACAAATTTGGAAGCAAGTCAAGTGGTATGGTGCACTTTCCAGAGATTTGTTACATTTCATACCCTGGACAGTTCAACATGACAGTTTGTTAGGCTGAAAAAAATGAAACAAAACTAAACAATACTAATAATAAATACAAAACATGCTTTGAGTTTGCTTCATGAACTGACAGGAGTTTATGAAAGCTGTGGCTTTGCTCAAATGGTGAGAATGATACATGCAAAGTTAGGACTGGTTCAATGAGAAATCCCAAATAAAACTATGGGTTGTGAAGATTTCGTCCATGTGAAGGTTAGCAGTCATTCCTTTATGAAGTAAATGTAACAGTTAGTTAAGCTCAGCCTTGAGAAAAGTTTGCAAGGCCAGGGCGCTCCACTAAATCTGGCCTTACCCTTGTCAGGGAATTTGTATCATCGTATGCTGTCATTTTGGAGCTGGGCAGTTCACACAAGGTAAATTCTTCAGCAGATGCCTCTGAATGGGATGAGAGATCTGCACTCACGAGTGGTAAAACTTCTTGAACAACAGAAGCATCCTCATAATCTTCACTTCCAGAGGAGAGCAAAACTGGTCTAGACACAGTTTCTTTCTCTCCCGGGTAACTGAGGTCATCCCGAAGCGGATGCTTATTTGAGCTAGAAGTTAACTCTGATTCATCAGGCTCAAAGAAATCTGATGCAGCCTGCCTACAGTCAAAGTAAGGCTCCGGATCTGAATATTCAGATGCTGGACCACGTGTACCACTGCAGACAACATCTTGATAGGTAAAGGTGGTTGTGGAGGGAGAGATCGCTGCGGGGATGGTGTTATCCTGATCACAGGTGAATAAAGTCATTGTTGTTTTTGTTTCAACAAAGCTAGGTTGGGAATCAGGTACATTTTCTACTGAAGTGACAGATTCTTCCAGGTGTTGCAAATTAGCTTTTGGGTGCACCTCATCTAAGTAATGATCAGGCTGCATTGGATCCTCAAAAATGACTTGTCTTTCGGAGGTAGCCGTTTTCGGACGATGTACACAAGCCACTGGACTAATCTCATTTGAGGACATCTCAAACTTAGCCGAGGTGGAGCAGGGTATCAATTCCTCAAAGCTTGACCGTCTCGCAGAAATATCTGTTTCTTGACTCGAAAGATCTGGCATTTCTTTGCATAATTCTTCGAGACTCCTCGTTAGTTCTTCTCTTTTATAAGACAGCAAATTTGGTTCTTGTTCTTGACCTTGAACCACATCACTTATCAAATATTCCTCACACACATTACTTGGCACATTTCCAGGAACTTGGGGGAAAATAGGTGTACCTACATCTGAGATAAAACTCAGTGAGTGCTCCAAAATGTCATGACCTCTTTGGGAATATTCTGCACTTGACAGGTCCTCCGTGGCTGAGATATTAGTTTTCCCACCAGGGGTTGACTGTGTGATTATTGGATCAAGTGAGAATTCTTCAGTGGCGACTTGGTCAGACATTGGAAGATGTGTAGGCCACGTGATTGATGCATTTATGTTTTCTTTCTCTCGCTGCAGTCTGACACTGAGATTATCTTTGGGACATCCAACTTCAAGATGAAGACCAGTGCATTCATGAATCTGATCACCTTCAGAGATGCTGTCATGGGGTTGTGATAAAGGCGGACAAAGGATGTTTGATCTCAACTCTTCATCTTGAGTCATTTTCATCTCTTGTATATCTGACAACAAATATTCCTGTTGTGGGGATACAGAACCTGGTAGAATTGGTGTCGGGTTTGATGATGTGATAATTTCCTCCTCACCACTGTCTTGAGTTGAGTCTTTGGTCATTGAGCTGGATCCTTCACTTAGGTCAAGGAATATTAGACCTTTTTCCGTGGTTTTTGTTGAGCCAGTTACAGTAGTCAATGAGACCTCAGATTGTGTTTTACTTTGATCAAAAATATCTGCAATGTGTAATGCTACATTTTCAGAGAGTGTGTTTGCATTATAATGCATGGACTGTAAGCTTGTTACAAAGCACTTGAAATAAGGATCTTTTTGCTCTTTATGCTGGAAAAGATTTATCTTGGAAGATGATGTTGACACCTGCAGGAAATGATGGAATGGAAAAAAAAATGAAAATGATTTGTGATTGATGAAAAATGAAAGGGCTGAAACATGCATTTTTTTTCAAGGCCATTCCTTTCTCTGATGCAAAAATTCACTTATAGCCCACTAGCATTTTCTGGAGATCAGTGGTATTTTATAACTGTTAATAACTAAAAAAAAAAAAAAACAAAAACATACCTGTTTACAAATCAAACTCATTACATCATTTGATAAGTAAGAGAGAAAATCTCCATTGCCTATTAAGGGTACACTAAATCAGAATATGTCATTGGAAGTCCAATGACATTTTGCAGGGGCAGGGTGGGCGGGGGCACAAGTGAACTTGTGTCAAAAACCAGATTATGCGTTATGTGAAGGTAGACATGCATCTTTTATGTTTACTGGGAGTCATAGGTTTATGACAGGAGTTGTTCCTACGCCGGTGATGTAAGCCGAATATGGACGCAAGTGAGAAAGTGCTGTTGTCTATTAGTAACCTACATTTACACATTTTGAATGTCACAATTACAGTAAGTATTTGTATGAAGGAACACTTATAAGCCATAGATATAAAACAAAAACAAAAAGAATGACAGGCCTGAACAGAGAGTGCCTTGTTGTACTGCATGTCTAGGAATGGCTTCTAAAGATGGTACTTTTTTTGGTATGGATCCATTCGGGTAGGTACGACTGAACACTGATTCCTTTGAAATCAAATGGTACCATGTTACGGTTCCAAAACGCTTCTTTCTATGAACTGTGTGGGAGTGGAAGAGTTGGCAATTTTACTTGAGCGCTGCACTGCACGCACACCAGCGTAATTACATCATCCCACTTCGTTCTTTGTGTTGTTCATTGCAAAGTACTTAGCTTTGCACTTTGTATTTTATATTAGTTTATTTTTTGGATGAATTAAATGTTATTAATTGTAAAGTGTCATACTTACATTTTTACCCCGTACTATTTGGCTCATTTATTTTAAATACATGATGGCGCTTTGTTATTTGTAGAAGTTTATATATGGCAAAATAAATGTTAAATTGGAAAAAATATATATTTTGGTAAAATAAACATTATTTATGACAAATAACAAAAGTACAATTTGTATCGTTGAGTACCGTATCGAATCCCAGGTATTACGAATCGGAACCGAACCGGCTCCTACATGCGGCAATGTATTCTTACTCCACAGTGCAAACTAGTCAATTGCATTAGAAACCTTCAAATTGGGTATGTCGGGACCATCGTAAACCAAGGACCCCCTGTAAATGGCAGATGCTCTGTCATAACTTCAGTGCAGAGAGCACCACATTCACCATCAAAATGCTAAGCACATTATAGCATTTACAAAAGCTGGTATTCTACAGTTGAACGGAAATCCCTATGGAACCCAGACAGTGGGGCCATTGTGTGCAATTAGTAAAAGCTTGTGGTAAAAGGCTCATTCCAACAATCGACAGTATACGGCCAAAATTACGAATTATGGAAAGCAACACTGCATTCTCTGCATAGCAAGACTTTTGCTGTCTTACCGGCAGAAAGGAACTTTTGTCCATTCTCAGTGACTCGCTTGGCATGTCTTTAAAGAACTCATCGTGGCTGTATGTCATCGTTAATGGAGAAAGAGTGTCTGTTCCTTTATGGTCTTTCAAAAGTGGTCTCTGTTCCATTGTTTCATTCCTTGTTTGAGATTGTTTGCTGAAGGCCTCTGTGACAATGCCAGTGTCACAAATATTCATGTTTTCTTTCACAGATGGCATGTAACTCAACTCTGGCTGGCTATTATTGACAGTTCTGGCATCATTCAGGCGAGGCTTGATGCTGTTTATATTTTTGAAATGACTAGATTCTTGAAGAAATTTCTCCTCCCCAAAAGCTGTTAAACATTCAACATTGCTTTGCTCAGAAGTCTTTTCAAAGCCTTCATCAGTTACACCAAACCTGACTGTGTCGCAGTCATGTTTCCCCCTGTAGACTGGATCATATATGTGTGCTGTTAATCTTCTGTGGAATGGCTCGTATAGAAGTCTTTCGTCTTTGTTAACACTTTGATAGATGAGACATTGTTCAGATTTTTTGTGTTTTAAACATTTTACAGAATCAAGAGGTACATGGGTGGATGGTATTAAATTACAGTCACTAAATGACTGGATGGACATGTTTTGATGAGGTTCACTGTCAAAGACAACAGATTTAGGTGAATCTGGTTTGATCTCATCATGACATGGACCGAAGCACTTTTGATCCAATGCAGATGCATCTGGTGAAACTGATATCGTTTTTGACAACTGATTACATTGAAATGCATCACGTATGTGGACAAAATTATGTGATTGTGAAAATGATTCATAAAATTTACATTCCTGAGACGAGTGGGATGAACATTTGGGTGAAAAATATGGTAGGAGAGTACATTCTGGAGAATATTTCGGAGGAGTGAATTTGTCAGTGAGAGCAGTGGAAGGTTGGGCTGGAAGATTATTGTTCAAATTTTTAAAACGGCACGGGGAAATCTCGCGTGACTGTTTGAGAGCAAAACAGGAAGAGGCTGTTTGTGGATCTTGGAAAGACTTTTGTTCTGCGTGAAATTTTAAAAGCATTTCGAAAGAGGAACTTTTTCCCTTATAGAGGGGATCAAACAAAGATGAAATAAATGTTTTATAATGATGGAGGTAATAAAATACTGGAGGCGAGAATGACAAATCTGCAAGTGGAAAAGGGCTTGCATGAGACTGACGGCCTGGATTTAAATTTGCTGAAAGACCATTTTCTGATGGGACCAAGTCTGGCGATTCTGGCCTGCTGTCATCTAAGAGATCCTTGATACTAAGATCTGAATAATCAACCTCAGACAATGATGACAGAGGAGAAACTGGCCTATCTTCAGAATACCTTAAGTAATAATTACAATGTTGTCTGTTGTTTTGAACAGACATCATGTCCGGACTTAAGGAACATTTCTCAACTGATGCTGCAGAATCTGGGGAGGATGCTCTAAAGTCCAACGGCCAATCCCGCAGCAGTGACGTGTCTAGATCTGAAGAAAAAGAATCTGGAGACAACGCCCTGCTGCAAAATAAGAGATCGACCGGTATTGTGCGGTTTACCTGGACCGCGGTACAAAAGTACCAATCGAAATTAAAAGGCAGCTAGTACCACCGAATTGGGTACTATCCGAGGGAAGGATATAGCGTTTGCTGGGACACGTGGTAAATAGTACGATTTTGAACTGTTCTAAATTGAACCGGGAAACAATTATTGTTCCACTCAATAATTGAAGCTCCAAGGGTATGATGAGTCTGAAGACCGATTTATTGCTAAAATGGTTATTAAGTGCCATGAGCTTTCCACCCCAAGAACTTTTCTCTTTTATCAATAAACTATTTTTTTCATTGAATATGTTTACATCAAAGAGCAAGTTTTTTGTTCATAACAAGCACAAATGTGTACCTTCGGGACAAGACGCTTAACATTCATGTTTAATGTGAAGAAAAGGTTTGACTAAAATTCTCTGAAATAGTACAGGCATTAAATAAAAAATGATGCTGTGAATTTGTTTTTATTTAGGATGCATATTTAAAAACAATGCCAATATACCCCAGCAGATTTATTTTTAATTCTCTTAGTTTCTATAATCTTATGCTTTTATTTAGTTTGGCATGAAACTACTGCTAGAAACCAAAACTCATGTTATTGGTTTCTAGTTTTACCTTTCGATAAGTGCAAAGGAAGTAATCAAAGAGAAAATAAAAAGCATAAAAATGAGTTGTAAACCAAAAACAACAAAGACAGGCACCACTATTGTGGGCATAAAGTATCGATCGGGAATTGTTCTATGCTCTGACACTCGTGCTACCAATGGACCAACAGTAGCTGATAAAGATTGTGAAAAGATCCACTAATTATCTGAGAAGATTTGGTGCTGTGGGGCAGGGACTGCTCCAGATACTGAGAGAGTGTGCAGAATGGCATCAAAGCACATGAATCTATTTAAGTACAAATACCTCAAACGGCCTCTAGTTAGTCACTGCAATAGAATCATTCAAGACTACCTTTTCAATTACTTTGGAGGAATTGG